CACAAAAAAAAAAAAAAAAGGGGCCGCCCCCCCGGGGTTGCCGGGGGTTCTTTTTTTGCCTCCCCCCCCCCCCCCCACCTCAGTGGGCTGCAAGGCCGGAGAACCAGCATTTTATTCTTAGTAAGTTTTTTTTTTCCCCCCCTGGCAATTCTGCACAGTCATGGAAACTGCCGTTTTTCATTATTTCCATGAAAATTGTGAAAGTTATTTATAATGGATGTTGGTAGCAATAACTAGATTCTCTATTTCAGCTACATATGGAATGGAGACTGAAAGATGGTTGGACAGTGGTCATAAAGCCCCTTTGCAATTCTGTTCTTCTCTTTTTAAGCATGGTAATAGTTTAACAACCCCAAGGATATACTAGTTTAGGCTCAGTTCAGTAGCTCTACTAGTAGCTATTCTTAAAGCATATAGCAGTGCTCCAGGCTGGGCTGTCCCGGGGGGTGGAGAAATCAGGGCAACTGCCCTGGGCCCTGCACTTCGGGGGCCCTCATTGAGCCGGACAGAGTAGCCCTCCTGCAAGGCCTGCCTAGTGTCGGGGACTCCATGCTGCCGTCGGCTTCATGTCTGGCTGCTTGCCATCTTCCGCTGCTGCCACCGCTTTCTTCACATCTGGGCTCTGCACAGGCCGATCTGCCCCAGGCCCTGCCCTGTTAGGGTTATCTCTGACTCCAGGCATGCCCCCTTTGCATCCCAACCAGGCCCCAAAACTGGAGTCAGCAGAGGGATGGAGATGTAAAAGGAACATTACATTTACAACTCTTAGGGAACCCTATTTTGCAGGAATGTTTATTTCCTGGTTGGTAGATAGGATGGGGGAAAAAAAAAGAAAGAAGAAAGGGGACTCAGAAGTGTCAGAGCCTTTCATTTCAGGGCCAGATTAAAGCAGTTGAGACTTCAGACACACCATGACAACAAGACCTCTTTCCCACCTAGATAGACTCCCACCTGGAGTCCCCTCTTCCCTCCCAGAAAGATGGGCAGCAGCTTGGATCCCTCTCATCAAGATCAGTAGGTTTAACAGTGAGCAGCTGGATGGTTCTTCTGCAGTGTGGGGCTGAGCCACCAGCTCCAGGATGGGCCGTAGCTGCCCACCTCTGTGGGGGCCTCTCAAAGCAGGGGGCTGGGGCAGTCACCCCAATTCACCCTACCCAAGGGACAGCTCTGTGTGACATCCCTTAGTGGCTCCACCACTAGGGCACCTTCCCATCTCACTCACTACACCTAGATGGTATTATAGTAAGTAGGGAGGCTGCCCACAGGCCGTTGCGTGGCTTCAGTCCAACTAGACCCCACCAGCCTCTGCCTGCACCCAGGCCCCTCACCAGGCTTCACTCTAGTGCCTACTGACCCCAGCCCTGCCAGTGCCCCTCACTCCCAAACCACAGTACCCTGCCCCCCACCCCTTGCTGGTGCACCAAGCGCTGCTAGTGCCCTGCGCACCCAACCTGTTCCCCGTGCCCCTCATTTGCAGCCCCTTGCACTCCTCCCAGCCCTGCCATTGCCCCTTAATCCCAACCCAAAGACCCTTGCCATGCTCCAAGCCCTGCTGGCCTCCCTCACTCCCAACACAAACACCTCTGCACCCAGCCCTGCTGCCCAAGCAGCTCCCACATTATGCATGTGCCAGCCCTTCCCCTCCTCATTGCCAGAGCCCACACAGAGCACATGACCCCCAACAGCCAATCACTTTGCCCACTGCTCCCGGCCCCAAACAGCCAGCCTAGGAGAACAGAAAACCTAGACCTTTGCTCTTATTTTAAAAACCCCTTCATACATAGCACAGGGGTCCAAAAAGGAAGGACAGCTCTGGAAAAACCTAGACATATGGTAATCCTATAATTGTGTGGCTCCAAATCCTCTCCTACACCATGCCTCGCAGATGTTACTATTATATTGTTCCTTCTGTTGTGGCTTCAGCTTCCACTCCTTTGATCTAGCAATGCCTTCTAGTCTAGGACCACTGTGTCAGACCTGGCTTTAAGGCACTAGCTTTAATTTATCCCTTCTGGTTACTGGGTCCCTCTGTCAGCACCCCTCTCAGGCACCAGAACCCTGTGTGCACTACAGCCCTGTATTCCACCCCTCTGGGCTCAACAATAGCTCAGGCCTTGAGCCTGCCCCTGGCAAGGCTCAAAGTGATCAGATGCCTCTCAGGCATTAAGGGGCCTCAATAAGCCACCCCTTACAGTCCCAACCCAAACCACTAGTGTAAATGCAACATAAACACAAGTCCCTGGGCTACAACATAAACATAATGGGATAACAGCCCTCTGTCCCTTTAAGAGTATAAACCTTCACTTACTAATATAGCATACCTCCCAGCCTGGGCTCCTTGTGAGCTCTTGGAGCCTCACTGTTCCTGCAGGCAGCAAAGCAGTAGGCTTAGCATTCCTGGGTGGCTCTCCTGGACAGGAGTACCTTCCCCTACCACTGCCAGGGAGAAACTCCCCGTACCAGCCCCAGCCTCAGACCCATGTGCTCCCAGGGTCCTGCCTACCTGGGGTCAGCCGACTGCCTGCAGTTGCCTGCTAACTGCATTCTGCCTAGCCCATAGTGCTCCCTGGCTGGGCTGCTTTTATCTTACAGTAACAGGGAGATCCAGGCTCTCTGTTACATCCACCCACATCCTGTCTCTATCTCTACTGAAAAATATCCCAGGAATACTGCCTTAATGTGGGGGGTTTTTTGCACTACCCAGACTTCATTAAAGCATGTAGTCGTAAGTAACATGATTATGCCTCTTGTAAGAGCATTGAGTGAAACCCATAGGAAAAGAGATGCATATTCCTCTCAGATCAGGATGCTGAAAGTCAAGAGATTCACCCCACATCTCTGAATAGTTGACCAGGAAAAACAAGTAGTAAAACAAACAAAAAAATCTGAAAAAAAACAAAAACACATTCCAGATAGGTCTAATGTTTTATTAATCACTTCTGTGTTTGACAGACTAGGAGTGCATCTGCATGAGACATTTACTGCAAAGCTGCCCAATTAGCTCCACAGTAAAGTCTCAGCATGTTGAGCCAAACTGGAACAGTCCTGGGCTGGCAGGCTGATCCCCAGTGCCCTGCCAGCCTGGGGATGCTCTGACCTGGTGCAACATGCTATGTGCATGTTCAGATGTGGTCCCCACAGTTTACTGCTCTGTGCTAATAGCACATGTAGATGCACTCAGGGAAGTGATTCCCCCCCCAACTAAGCCACTGCATCTGCTTTAAGTGTTCTACTGTATGTGACTGCATGGGATTAACTTCGACATCCATGGGAACCAGACCAATTACAATGACTGCCCACACATCATTACTATAGCTTATGCTTGCATGGTATCATACTTAGGTTTGTTGAATATCTGGTCTTGGATACAAAACAGTTTCACCCTCAGGCTGATTGCACAGGTGTAAGTAAGGGGTAGACAACTCTACTCCAGTGTAGATTCCTCTACTCTAGTGTAAGTTCCTTGTGTCAGAAAAAACAGTATAACCTGTGAAAAGCAGATGACCCCTTGCTGAACAAGTGATCTAATCCTGAACTTAAAAGATAGCCTTTTGCTGACAGTAAGCAAACTTGTTCTGTGTATTTTGTAGCTAACAGCAAGCAAGAAAAAAAAAAAGAAGCACCCCCCAAAGCTAGTGGAAATTCCCCAAAGATGCACATGCATATATGTCTTATACCTATATTTGCATATGCTACCAAACTCAGATTGGGGGAGCTCTTTGTCTAGTAGAGACCGAGTAGACCCTCTGCAGAGAAGCAAATCATCTTGCTGACACTCCCTTGTTCTCTGCCTAATTAAATCACAGCTAGGAACGAGGCCAGAGATGGGACGTGGCCAGTGCTCCTCAGTGTATGAGCACACCCTTCAGTGTATGGGTGCTACACAGTAGCTGGCCAATTTCCCCGACACTTGACATAGAAGTGGATATAGATAACCCTTCCTCTGGAGTAACTTGCACAACTGTCTCTTTACTGTAGATTTAAGTTTACCCTGGGAAGAATGTATCTCCAGCCTGCCGGGCAAGCAGGCCATTACATACTTCTCTGCCATCTAGCGAGAATGTTCTGTAGTTGCACCTATTGCAAGAAGTTATTTCTTGAGTCCTATTAAAGTGTATAGGATGTACACAACTGACAAGTTATACTGGTATAAATGTGTCCACGTGTTGACACTTTCTGAATAGAAAGTGTGCGTGTGTGTGTGTGTATTGAGGGGGCTGCAGTGCAGGGTACAGCCTAATATTTTTCCTACCCTGCTGTTCTATGCATTTGGGCATCAGTGGCTGTAGAGCCATATTTTAAGTTAAGGCTTATTAGGTTCATCAGAAATCCTGTATTAATCAAGTAAGTGGTACAAGTAAGTGGGTGAGGGAGAAAGAAAAATGTGTTATTACAACATTAGCATTTGAGATATTTTATGGATTAAAAGTAGAAAATTCAAAGCAGTGGATTTTGGAGTGACAGTAACTCAGCTCTCTTTCACTGTTTGTGCCACCATTTTAATCAGCACTGCTGATACAGTGGAGTTGTACCTATCTTATGCAGGGGTTACGTGCTGAAGTCAGCGCACAAGGTGAAAAACACACACACACGGGGGGGGGAAAAAACAAAAACAAACAAACAAACAAACAAACAAAAAAAAAAACAAACCACCCTTCCCACCACACTCCTCGCCCCTCTCATCCTCCACTGGGTTGTCCTGCCATGGCAGCCAGCTGAGTGCGAGTGAGCTGCTGCCCCCCCACCCATGCCGGCGCGTACAGGCACATGCAGGCAGTACCGCACGGCACTGTACTATGCGCCATGTCCCAGACAGCATCCGGCAGCCAGCCTCAGCAGCTGAGCGCGTATAGCCGAATTCATGCAAGTTAAATACACATGAGATGTGACTCGACTGTATAATATATTCTATGTGTAAACTCAAATGCACTGAGGTTACTATGGGGATCATATCTTGTATCCCCTATGTGAAAAGATATGCGGTGAGGTTATAAAGCTCAAGCCAAGCCCAGGGCACTTAGAAGTGTGGTATCCAGAAGGAGTACCAATTCAGAATAGATTGGTGTTTATCCAGAATATTACCGGAACAGTTGTACTTAAGGCATGGTCATGGTTGAGATATCATAGAAAGTTAGGGTTGGAAGGGCCCACAGGTAGGCATCTAATACAACCTCCTGCTCAAAGCAGGACCATCCCCAACTAGATCATTCCAGCAAGGGCTTCATCAAGCCAGGCCTTAAAAACCTCCAAGGATGGAGATTCCACCAGCTCTCTAGGTGACCTGTTCCAATGCTTCACCACCCTCCTAGTGAGAAAGCTTTTTCTAATATCCAGCTGTGATGGCTGTAGGTTTTCGTGGGCTTGCTGCCACTGCCCCGAGTTTGTTTTCCTGGTCTGCCAGGAAATTGGTCTTGCGTTTCTCTCCTGCCACAACTTTGATGAAATTATATTCCCAGGAGGTACTGCCCATGGAGATCTTGCCTGGTCTCGATCCCTGTTTTCTTCTGTGGGGCTCCAAGCCTCCCCTTTACCCCAGACGGTACTCAAAGTCCTTATGCAGCCAGGTCATAGTACTGCCTGTTATTCTACCACCAGGGTGACCTTTGGTTTTCATTAGGTGCACCCCTTCCAGGGCTGGTCTTGGCCTGTGCTCAAAAGATCAAAGAAAAGAAAAAACCAAGAAAAACCTTGGCTACTCTCAGTCTCCTTGCCAGGCTCAGTCTATGTCCCCTTTTACCCAGGGTTGGGCTCTCAAAATCCTAATTGCAATGATAAACAAAATCAATTAGCCTAGTCACTGTTCTGCACAAGCCTGCCTGGCTCCCTTGTGAACATTCACAGTCCCAATGGGATCTCTCCCACATGCAGGCCTCTCTTCCAGATCCTTGGCTGACACTCCACTCTGAAGAGTATCAAAAGGCCATGTGTGTTCTCTCTCCCTGGATCCTCAGCTGATGCTCCACTTTGGAGATTATCAACAGCCCTGTGCATGCAGTCCCCCCCCCGCCCCGTCTCCTGCTCATAGTCATTCCGGCAGAGTTCCTCTGGCAAGTTTTGCAACCCTTGTCTGCCAGGATACTCAGCCGCTCCTCTCTCCCCATGGCCTGCATGGAACTGACCCCCCTCTCCGGGGCTGGAAATACCTCTGGGCAACCTCCCTCCTCCAGTCCTGAGTGAGATGCTGCTCCACAAGTGCGGTGGGTGTTTCTCTTCCCTTCCGGTCTCCAGCTGCAGCCCTGCCAGCCCTCCATGCTGTGAGTGCTGTTTGTTTTCCCTCTCTGCCTGTTGCTGCAAGCTGCTTTTCTTCTCCTGACCTCCCCTGCCCAGGATGTAAGACACCTCAGAGCTTCCGTTTGCTCTCTCTCACTACTTCACACCAACCTAAGCCTCCCTTGCGGCAACTTGGGACCATTGCTCCTTGTTCTCTCATCTGCCACCACTGAGAACAGTCTAGTTTCATTCTCTTCGGAACCCCCCCTTCAGGTAGTTAAAGGCCACTAGCAAATCCCTTCCCCCTGTTCAGCAGAAACTCATTCAAGCCCTGCTTCCCTGTGGGCAAGGAGAACTCTGTGATTAACCATGGGCACTCCTCCCACAAACAGTCAGAAGCTTTATTGACTGCAAAACATCTACTAAGCACAAAGCAATTCATCAACTGGGGTTGTCAACTTCACTGGGATTGCCAGAGCATATACAGGAGTTAACTCCCTCAGCCAGCTGTTTTGGGAAAGTTTCCTGGGTTGTGCTGTTGTTCCAAGTCCGAAGGCTTGGTCCTCCTTTAGAGATCCACACAGAAGTCTCCCTCAAACTCATGCAAGTGGTTCAGATAGCATGCAGCAAACAGCAGGCAGCGAACACTGACTTCACTTGCTTAGGTTATTTAATCCTTTACTGAGGTCACCATTATCAATGCTAGCCAAGTTTGTTATACAATATTTTGGCTCATAGATCCTAAAAATATATCACATTCTTGCACCTTGACAATATTTTCCCCAAATTAAAATTGATATTACTCCCAGAATTTACCACGGCATCATTTTGTTTTATGGTTCTATTGTTCCATTGTTTTAAGTGTTCCATGTTCCCTGGCATTTTACTAGGGTTAAATTTAGGCCACAATCACTGCCAATTTTGAGTAATCTCAAAGAGACTTCTGGGAGTTTGGTCAACTTCACATGACCAGATTCAATTTTCCTTGCAACACTTCTCCTCCTTGTTTGCTAGGAAAACCAGTTTCGTTGCAATCATTTACTCTTTTGTCCTAGCTATTGTGCTCAAAGCATTAGGGCCACCAACTCCGAGTGTTAGATCTTCTGCCAAGTACATGGGAGTCTTTTAATGTGGATGGGGGCATGAAAGGTGCTTATGAATTTCCTCCTCTTGAATTAGTTTTCTGATGATTTGTGCCAATCGGTGCATTTGGATCAACATTCCAATTTGAGCAACCACTATAACGATAATAACACCCAACAAAACAACCAGTGGGTGCATCATTGCATGATCTCCACCCCAGGGTGTTGAGGGAGCTAGCTGGGGTTATTGCAGGGCCCCTGGCACGGCTCTATGAGCGATCGTGGTGCTTGGGCCAGGTGCCAGATGATTGGAAGGTAGCAAATTTGGTCCCCATCTTCAAGAAGGGGAAGAGGGAGGACCTGGGTAACTATAGGCCCATCAGTCTTACCTCAATCCTGGGGAAACTCTTTGAGAAGATCATCAAGGAGCACATTTGTGATGGGCCGGCATCAGAAATGATGCTCAGGGGCAATC